CAATACACAGTTTGAATTGAGTGGTCAGATGCACGATGGCCCTGTGAGGTAAAATCTCGCTTGTACAGTGTGATTGATCGTATGCCAGTCAGCAATAGGCACGGTGGAGGGGGATGTCGGACTCCAGTGTAAACCACTGAGGGTCTCCTCATAATACCTTGAGCCCGTGTCATCTCAAGTAACAACTACTCTCTCTCAGCACTACGCGGCCGATTATCGTCAAGCATGGACCAGGGAAAAATGAATGCTGAGGCTGAGAGTTTAGTAAGTAAAGCTCCCATGAAATGCCTCCTAGACTAACCAATGCGAAGCCTAATACCTTGAACGAGACTATGAAGCTCCTTCAGGTTGCGATTGAGGATGCCATGTCCGAGTTATATGATCTCGAAAGGGCTACTATCAACCGGTATGGCGAGAAGATATCGGACAGCAGGGATCTGAGGAGCAACCTCCAAAGATACTGGAAACAGATATCCGAGATGCTCAAGACCGCATACATCATCGGAGATGACGTGGCGTTACTGCGAAGCCGTATCAAGGCTGGTACCAAAGGCGAACTGCAAGCTCTGCTCGAAGATTTGAAGGAGCAAATTACGGATGTGGAATTACTCACCTCGGATCTTGTCAAGTCTTATGAGACTCCTGGAATGGTATATTATGAGATCCCTGTAACGCCATACGACAAGCTTTGGCAGCCAAAGGGCCGAAAGACTCATCAATATGAACAGCATGGTAAGCATGCTCACAACGCTACCTTAAGTCGCATAGCGCTTATATGACACGGATTGATCTGTAAAATGGCCCGGTAGATAACAGGGAATGGTATCCTGACGGACATGAGGCCCTGCTCGGATACAAAGAGGCGGACATCAGGGTGTTCCAGTGCCTAAAGGTCTTGAACTCTGCCTGGAAGGATCAATTGGAATTCTGTGACAATTGTATCAGAGCACTAGACGATGGGAAGGACGCAGCGGACCAGATGGTGAAAGCGTTAGATTTC